TTCCCTAATACTGTTATGTATGCATATCGCACACCGAGAATCAAATTAAATGCTTTTTTTAAAGGTAATCTTTAGAGATCCTAAACAAAATACGTGTGTGTTATACCCCTTATTGTACTAAAAAGAAAAAAAAAAACTGTAATTTAAAGTTTGCAATTCTGAAATTTGAACAAAATCTTGAAAGAAAATATTAATCCGTATGACCGGATCAGGAATTTAAATACATTTTGTCTACGAATTTAATTAATGAAACAAGCGCGTACACGATCAAATGACGTTCAATATAATCAATCATAAAGCAATCTTATTTTCAATCTCACTCTTCAATTGCTTTAGCTAGAGCTAAAATCGATTATTCGCAAGACGTAGAAACGGCATGTAGGTGATAAGACGGGTATCCGCAGCATCCACGGGTGGGGAAGAACGGACGAGGGTGGTTCTCCGCGTGGGTCGATTCATCGTGGCGCTTCGACGCGGAAGGACGAGGGCGTCCGCATCGCGAGGATGTCCAGGGGGAGAGAGAGAGATAGAGATAGAGAAAGAAAGAGCGAGTTCCAAGGGCGTACATCGGCCAGTAACGAGTCGGGGGACGCGAGCGACGCTTGCAGGCGTCGCCTTGGGCGCCGCTGTCCGAGAACAGATGGAGCCGACCCGCGTACCCCGGGGCCCCGGTCCGCGCCTCGTCTTCCTCTTCGCCACCCTCGTGTTGACTTTCGCAGGTAAAGAGGAGATATTTTTCTTTCGCATTCCGCGAAAAATAAACTCTACGTCCAACTTCAGCCTCTCTTATGATGCATAAGGAGCATGTGTGATCTGTTGCGCTGTGCATCTTTCTTAAAAAGAAATTCGTGATAGAAGAAACGACGCGAGTTACATATATTTCGATAAGTATATATACTTCAATCGGAATAATGAAACCCCAGCATGATCTTGATATTTATCGCGTCTCCTTGAAGAAGCGTCTACTGAAACATTTAACGATAAAAAAGTGTAATAAAAATAAAAATCTCTATTTTAAATTGCGCTATTACAAAATTCATTTTTTCTTTCATAATTGATGACATAAATGCTGTAGATGTGTTTAAATGTGAAAATAAAATTGTACAATCTCAAACTATATTATTAATCACAATATTCATGACTGACTTCGACACTTTAGACAGAAATTTTCTGATCTCTTTTTATAAAAGAGAAACTTTATCTAAAATAAAACTTGATAAACACGAGAAATTTTTCATGCCGTCGAATAATTGCATTTTTTTCTTCATTTCTCAGCGACGGGGCTTTTATGTGGTGCGATAATGTCGGATCATTGGGAAGAGATCAGCTGGGACAAGGAAGATCTATCTCACGCAAACATCAATCTCACGTGGTATCTGGACGGTCAGGTGGCAATGCTAAAGTCTTCCGTTAATCATCGAACTAATCGTGTTACCAAAAGTTCGTCCTTTTTGGTTCCTATGCACGGCGGGATATGGATTATGTGTGTTACATTGTCAGGTACAAATTGTTACAATTCTAAAATTATATGTTGCAATCAACTTTTTTATTCATAAACGGCTTTCTCTCCCCCTCCCCTTTTAATGTGTTTTAGAGAATAACGGTAAAAAGAATGCGATTTGAGATTTTTCTTAATATATTATCTTAGACATGTGAAGAAAAAATATACATAACTTTATTATTTATTTCATGAGAGTAATCTACGAGTTATGGATGTTTTCCATGTTATGATTTTAATTACTTGCAAGTGCTGCTATTGTATATTGCCAAAGATATCAAAATAATAAGCAAATTACTGAAAAATATTATTCACGATTAAATGAAAAGCCAGAATCACATATTTTATTTTTCTCTGATATCTTATTGAAAATTCTCATATATTGACACCGTTCATATTTTCTTTTCGTGTTTGTCGGCCAATAGAAACGTTATCGATTTTGAGAATCGGTAAACGAACGAAGATTAGGTCTAGGTTAATAGGATCGTGTCGTTTTGCTCAAATATACTGAAAAAACAAAACTCTCACGGTCACGCGATCGTATGGATGTGCTGTTCAAACTGTGCGATTCGGCGGTTCGATATCTCCGGACAGAGTCAAGGTAGCATCTAAATATAGTCACGTGTATGTGCAACATAAACATGATCCTTCCGATAAAATTCCAGCACAAAAAATATTTATCGCATTTCTACAAAACAATATTAATTTTTCTATCAATTTCTCTTGTATATAAAAATGGTTTCCCTCTTTAATAATTTTTAATAAAATCTCTATATTAATTTTAAAACAAAGTGCTTTGTAAAAAGAATCATAAGATTTTGGAGAAAGTTCTTAACGGTCATAATGATTTTTAGATAATTTTTCTAAACAAAATACTTTTTTTCCTGATAAAATTTATAGTCGATGTCATCGCTAATCCAATTTTTCACTTAAATTTATTTAAATTTACGCTTTCTTTGCAGCTCTTTGAAGCATATATCCCACAGAATTCTTTCTTCATTCATTGTTAGTTGCTTAAAATCTGAAAACTATAAACCGATATGTATTTTTGTTAAGGAAAAAATCGTGAATTTCATGAATTAATCAAAATTGATACAAGAATTTCACAAATTGAGATTAAAAATAAATAAAGTATGGCACGATGGATTTCGAACATCTTGTATGTCAATATCTATAGACACGATTGCGGAAAAAGTTGCAACGATAAAAAAATATAGTCGATGTGTATCTTTTTTCATTTAATCGAACGTGTGCAACCTTGTGGATTATTCGAAGAATTCGGAAGCTTCTCATTTAGTTATTTTTGTCAGAAAATTACCTTTATAGTACCTGAACACGCCAAGTACAGTACCTAGCACTGCCCCGTTTTTGCGCATAGCATTTATATCACACGGCCAAGGTGTTAATGATTCGTACGACGATGCGATATGTCAAAAATCGCAAGATATCACATTTATTTTATATAGCTTTCTCATAATTCGACAACTTTTCGCTTGAAACAACAATAAATGTGGCTTTCTTTCGCTATTATTTTTTTTTTGCTCTCTGTCAATTGAATGATATATGCGAAAAATCAGTATCAGCAAAACGCTGGAGAGAGAAAAGGTTTTGATAAATTTTCTCGTAATATTTTAATTGAAGAATTCCAAAATTGTGTGTTTAATATAACATTAATTTAGATAAATGAAAAATATCTGAATTCAAACATATTTTATGTGTATGAATTTAATTCACATATCTATAAGCTATATAAATCTTCTAAAAGAATTATGTTCCTCATCCAAAAAACGATAAAAGATAGGACAGGATGAGAACTCATACAATATCTGTCAGAAGTAAAAAAAATTACATTACAATGATTTTTTTTTTTATGATTTTGAGAGAACCATCTTGATGACCAATTCGCATTACAATAAGCAAAATTTTATCTATTTAAATGGGAAAAAGTAAAGATTATCAACAATTAAGCTTATCAACAAATTGTCCTTGTTTTTTTTTTAGAGGAAGAGATACAGCTCTTAGGTCAGGTGGGTTTCCCGCAAGAGAGATGCATCAATTACTTGACACCGATTGAAGCGCATGAAGAAATACGCGTAGCTTGGCAAAATCGTAAGTAAATATTAAACAACAAATTAAATTGAGCCATATACTGTGCAATATTGACCTTGTATCCCAGAATATATTGTTTTAACATGATTGATAATTAATCATTTTACACAATCCCTTTTTATACACAATTTCTATTTTGCAGTCAATCGGGAAATACAGAAATAACATAATTATAAGGATCGATTGATACGAATGATCGCAAGATCCACATTCTGTTTCAGGAATGCAGAATCTAAGTATCTCATGCTCTTTAGTGTGCCTAATCATTCTAGGATGCGCCGCGCTTATAGGATTTTTCGGACTGTGCAGGCATCAAATATCAGCCGTGCTCGTGACGGGAGTAATGTATCTCCTTGCAGGTTTATATAATTTTAACTATTTATATTATTTAACTATTTATATAATTTTGATTGATGTATCAAAACTTCAAATATACCTTGCAAAGAGGTATAACTGTTTATATAATTTTGATAGATTGGTGATGTACCAAGATTTCAAGTAAAAGATTTCGTTCCATTTGTTATCGAGAGTCTCTACTTTTTCAAAATATCACAAAATATCACTTGACTTCGATATAATAAAAAAATATTTTATTAAATAAACAAGTATTGAAATGGCTGTATCTATCAGAAATGAAATTCTTTATCCGAATGAAACTTGGATAGAATACTAACAAAGAGATAAATTATATATTTTAGAAAAAGAAAAAAAATATGCCTATGAACTTTATAATATTGTATTATCAGAACAATGGCGATTAAATTAGGATTATCGCTGATTTTCATTTCAGCAACATTTGCATTGTTTACGCTGACGATCATTCATTTCAAGAGAGACCACGGGACCAAATTAGTAGTGGACGGTGGTCCTGAGGACGGCGTGGTCGGCATGCCTGTTCCTCGCAGCGTCCTCAAGGCCAGAAAGTTCACTACCGCATGGAGCATGGACCTGGGATGGGGTGGAGTCACTCTCTGTGCCCTCGCGTCGGTCGCCTGGATCCTCCTCAGTAAGATCATGCGCTTCAGCCCGATCGCTGCCATGATCGCGTAGCAGTGGGACGCCTTCGAGGTTTAAGGTCATTTCTGATAAATAATCACTATATTTCGATCCTTTCTGCGATCCTTATAGAAATTAAATTTCAATATTTTCCTAATCGATATATACCACGATAGTGCAAGAAATTTGTTCCTTTTCTATAAGTTTTTCGAATTCTGCTCTTCGATTTTCTATAACAGATATATTTTCAAACAAAGTCATTCGTTATACAATTAAAAAATTATTCATCTTGCAACATATATATA